AATAAATCCACTGCTCTCTTGTCTCCTCTGAGGCTGGGACTCTAAATAGTGTTCTGTGCTCGTCTCTGCAGTCAAAGACAGAACAGTTAGCATGTTTTGCTCAAACTTTCGCCATTACATTAGAACTGCTACACCATTGTCACTTGCGAAAACACAATAATGGCGCCGTGGGTGTAAACTTACATATTAAGGGGTGGTAATATTATAATGAGATCCCTTTGCCACGCCACCAAGGGAGTGAAAGCTGGTTTTCTCAGATGGTTGCAGAAAAAGTCTTGCCAAAACGGAGTTACTGGGTTAATCTTTTTTCACGTTTCCTTGGTTGGTAGATGCACTGGGGACCTGATTATAGCACTTAAAACCTGAAAAAGTCAGATTTTCATGATATGTCACCTTTAAAAATATTTCTATTATAATGGGAAGAAGTTAATGAAATCCTTTTGTTTGGTCATTTATTTAGTCCATTAAGACTACTGATTGTGGTTGATGGGTTAGAAATGTGTGTTTGAATTATTGTAACGGTTTACTGTCTCTTATACTGGATTTTCCAGTCAATCTTTGGGTTGTTCTTTTTTAATATGTGTATTTCTCTAAATAGCGGTTCCTCCTGTGCAAATTCAGACACCAACCACAACAGAAGGATCAACATTATGTAAGTTCATCTTATATCATTTATTTCAGTAGGGATGTAACGATTCCCTCAACTCAGAATTCAATTCGATTCACGATTTTGATTTCACGATTCGATTCGCGATTTTTTGTTTTACAAAATGAGATTTAAGACAAATTATAAATTAAATGTGTCCTTTTATTATTGCTTGGACAAAATGCTGCACGTTTCTTTGTTAAATTGAAATATAACACTATAATAATATACTAATATAGCACTTCCATATTATTGCTCTTTTGTTGGTTTTGATTGCTTCTATTGTCCTCATTTGTGAGTCGCTTTGGATAAAAGCTAAATGACAAAATTTTAATATAATGTAAATGTAAATAACAAAACTAAATTGAAATTTGAAAACAAGCCCCAAATAAAATAAATAAGTAACACAAATAAAAGAAATCTCATATAAACAAAATAAGTCTTTGTCTGTGCTCTTCCCATTTTAAATTAGAGGCAACCACTGCATTTTAATCATGATCCAAACAAAGATGCTGCATACATGCAACATGAGCAGTTTTTAATCTAAATTAGATTGTATAATTTCGAAATTTGAAGCAAAAACAGAATGGTTTGACTTCAGTTTTGTGAAACTATGCATAAAAAATATCTGCATGAAACAGAAACAGCAGACGAGCTGAACGAGACGCAGATTCACTCTCTGCCAGCAGGTGGCGTGTAAAGCGTTTCCTTGCTTTCGGCTCTAAACAAAGCAGCGCTGCACTT